TTATGATATACTCGTACATAGAAAATATTTTTAAATGCACAGTGACTGCCTTTCTGTTTCAAAATTTATTCAAACATTACAATACGTCATGTTTAAGTATTAATGAAGAATTTCATAAGGGCTTAGTGTAATTAACATTTTTTTTGTTTTGTTTTTCAGGCCCACATGTTGAAAATTAACAAGAATTCAGCATGTGTGCATTGTATTCAGTAGAATCGTCAGCCTTCTTATGTAGGTCTTCCTTGTGGATGGTAAACGACGCGAACGTTGTTTGGTAGGTCCAGAGCGAGCCGCGTCGCTTATCCGCTACGCCACTGAACTATTCAATTTGGTAAGTCTAACAATCAGATAATGAGTTGGAACATAGGACTTTAATCTATATACGTATGTCTATTCTATTAGTTTTTTCATCACTCAAGATTTCAAAAATCAGTAGGTGGTCCTTTCATCGAAATTGAATCCTTTCAAAACTAGAACTATTGACTAGTATGAAAAATTTTAGAGCTAAACTTATTTCAAACTTTCATCTTGTTATCTCTAATCATGCAGTCAATAGCGAAACTGTTTATGCAAACTTTCTGGATAGTACTATGAAATAAAAAGTTTTTGAAATATTTTAATTTTTGAGAATATAGTCTTAGCAAACTGGACCAGACAGGATAATGAATTACGTCAATATAAAACATTCAATTCAAGAATCGTCTGTTTTTATAAACTATCTAGTTCTAATATATAGTCATTCAATATAAATATTTTTGTTATTCTCAGTGATAGGAATGCCAATAGAAATTATATGAGCCTGTAAATCTATAATACTCTTCGGTGGCGGTTGAAAATTCATTGAAAAATTTTTCTTTTTTCGAAGATTGTAATAGATGTGTACTTTTGTATGGTTGTTTGACAAGAAGTATATTGAAATTTCTTGTTTGATTTTCATTAAGAAAAAGCATCAATCGTATGGTAGTACATAAATACGTCTAATGTTTTCTTTAGTAATCCATTTTATTTTCTTAGCTTTATTACTAAAAAAAATACACTATTTCTCCATTATGGAATAACCTCCGCTTCTGTAAGGTGAATGAAATTCTCCACCACTTTGGTAGAATTCCACTAGAGTTAATCACAAGCTCAACAGATTCAATAATCCACTAATCCCTGGGTGACCATTTATAATAATATAATAATATTGGCGTAACGTAAAATAAGAGGATGATTATTTTGCATTTAGTGAAAGATTCTAATTCTAAAAAATATGACAAGGAATTCCAAATATAGATTTTATTGAAATGAGATAAACATATATTTTTTTAAGTGAAAATTAATAAAATATCATTAGCGCTTCGGGTTTCGCGCGATACGCATCATCTGTCTTGTAGACAGACAAGATGCGGTAAATATTATTAATTTCTAAGGTCAGTTACAATCCTATACAGTGTTGCATGTTGAATATATATTCTTCCTTCTCTATTTTATTAATTTTATTAAAAGTAATTTCAATAGCAAGAAAAAAAAAATATGAAAAATAGGATTTATACAAACGGTTACATGCAAATTGTTTTTTTTATTCTCTGTATGAAATAAAACAAGGTGAGAAAAAAGCAGCTCTTGCTGAGTTTCTTGCCGTTTCATATTCGTCGTCGTAGATTTACGAACCGATGGCATGCATTTAGGATGACTTCATGATAATCGCTCAAGTCAGGTTTAAAAATTTCTTAAAACCTTTTTTATTAATAGTTAAAAAAAAAACTTCTTCATACAAAAACCACTGAACAGATTTTGATGAGAGTATATGGATAAATAAATGTCTGGAGTGAAGGATACTTTTTATCCAACTTAATGGTTCCTAAGGGATTAATATATTATGAAGCCGCTGGCGGAGTTTAATAGTGTGAATTTCTTATAATCACCGTATACTTAAATTGAATTTAAATATTTTCTTACGGTCATAAAAAGAACATTTTCACCTAGCAATAAAATTTTCTCTCTTGTGGCACTTTAGATTACTTTCTTATCGTTTTGAGTACATCGATATAAGAATTTCAATTTCTTAAAGTTATATTAAATATTACAACATTTTACATCAGCTTAAACAAAGGAAGTACGGTGCCCGAGAAAAAAAAAAATAAAAGGACAATTATTATTGTGTGCATTAAAAATAATTATGACAATATTTCCTTATATTACTTAAACAATTGATGTCAATGCTGAATAATGATGATTTTTAAGGATAACCTAGTTGCCATATTTTTCAATGCATAAACTTATATTTATAAATTGCTAGTTTTCTACCAACGGCTTCGTGTATTATAGTGTGGTGTATATTAAACCTCGTATCTCTCTGTATATTGATGAAATACCGTTTTAAAATTCGTTATGTAGATTAAAAGAACACAGCGACAGTAGGGTCGCTTATTATTATACTTGGTACTTGGTATTATACTAGGATATTATTTACCTTTACCATTGTCACAAAGCTATTTTAATATATTAATTTTTAGAGTTACGTGCACAAATGGTAAAACGGGAACCCATTACTAAGACTTCTGTCTGTCACCAGGCTGTTTCTCATGAACTGTGAAAGTAAGAACGTTGAAATTTTCACAGATGATGTATTTTTAAAAACCAGATTAAAATAAATACTTAAGAGGCCTCCCATACAACAAAAGTGATTTTTTTTGCTTGTGTTTGCTCGATGTTCATAACTAGAATAGGTAGACATTTGTTATTTTTTTGCTCGTTTCCGGTAGACATGAACAGTTATGATGTTATGTTCATTCGTTCATTACGAGTCGTAACTCGTAATTGGTAGTTTTTTTTATATCATCAGTGTAATGTCCTCATTGTTGGGGTAGGATTTCCTTATGGATGGAGTCTGATTAGGAGAATGGACGATATCCCACTACGTGGACCCAGCGCGGATTAGAGGGTGTAAACGACTGCAGGAGCAGTCAAGACGAATGGCTTAACGTACTTTCCGAAGTAAGGAGGAGCCCGAGTTAATAAATTAATTGTCCTAACTAACGCGACATACATTTTTCAAAAGTACATTTAACAGATTAATATTGATTGTGTTTTTAAATTAACGTTGTTTGTCTTTAAAAACTATAGCTTAGTTTTCGTTGAAACGAAAACTGTTTGATTATTATACAATATCGTTTATAGTTTACGTTAAAATTTATGAAGCATCGAAGTACTCAATAGAAGGAGTTCCTTCTAATACTGTGAAGTTTCACAGCTTTATTGCAGCCTCTTTTACACGTTTATAAAAATAAAAACGATTCCATATGTCTAGTATTTATTCGAAAACCATCTGTGTCATATCTTGTTTTCATATATTTCACAATGGCGCCCCTAGCGGAAACAATAATAAATTAAAACAAAGTAGTTATCAAATGGTTTTAGAGTAAACGGCAGTATGATATACAAGTTTATCATGTAACTGAAAGTAATTCAAACGGAAAACGAAAACTATCTTAGTTTCATCGCTCGATTAAAATTTTCATTCGAGAAAGAAGATTTTTCCTTTATGAAACAAATTATTTTTATATATTTGATATTGAATTGATTGTTTTTCTTATGTTGAGTAATTAAAAACATAATGGACTTTATCTTCTGTCACTGGCTTTGATCTGATATACTTTGAAATATAATATACTTTAAATATACTTTGTACAGATCGAATCACGAAAATTTTCTCGCCTCATCTTTGCTATATTCTTGAGGACATAGTTATTAGCATGGACGAATAAGATAGTAATCTTAGAAGCTCACAGAGTCCACGTATGTCGATTGATTGCATCTAGGTATCTTGTACCAAAGTATTTTCCTCTTTGTTTCAATATTTATCATTGTACATACATAGTTTGTATACATATGTATTTTTCCTCTCGGTTGTGTCGCTGTTGACAAAACTGGCGTGGTCATAATGAAACACCATTATTGGTGTTTGTAATATCTTTATTACATTTCTCGTAATCATTTCGTTTCGGTATTTTATACTTTTATATCCTTCGAAATGTAAATTTTCCTATTAATCAAGTAATTCACAAAACTACTAAACTACTAGAATGAGGTACAACACAATTTCGAGATTTAGTTCTATTCTTATAATTAATGTATAATGGGAATCCATGGAGTGGTACAATGTGTAGATGGCTATCATTTCAGAATATATAAGCCGATGTTACAGATGAACATTTTTCGAAAAGAATACAACGCAGCAAAAAAAAAATTTCGTTATATCTTTGTTATTTATTCTCTATCGATAAATTAAAAACTAGCGATTTAGCTATAATAGGATCATTGCATAAATTATTTAACACGTTATTTCTTAGAGTTTTAATTATTAAGTTCAAGTTGAAAGTTGAGTTATGTTAGCTGCACGAGCCTTATAATGAGCTATTACATCATTTTTATTACCGATTACAGTTATGTTTGGGAAAGTTTATCAATCACACTGATTTCTCATATTTTCACGCGCACTATCCATCTAAGTTAGAATCTCCAACATTGTGGGTTAATCATTGTATACTGTTATCACTCATATCACTCACATAAATCAAAACTTGGCAATTAATATACACTCTTTGCTCACGCATACGTGAATATCAAACTGTTATGAATTCAATAAAAATGTGAGGACATAAAGACAGCGTTAGTTGATGGCGAAAATCTTATTATAAAAAAGTTTAACGGGTTTCATTTTTAAGAAGAAATCTATTATATTAACATAATAATTGTACTGATACTGCATGATCATACCATAGAGTTTCATAGTTTAGTGGTATCATAATTATTAAGATAGCTATTATGTGCTTTAGTGTAAAGTGGTATAACTTCAAGTCTTTTAAAGATTTTTATCATATATTTAATAATATAACAAAAAAAATCATATCATTTTCTTAAATTAAAAAAAGAAAAAGCTAGTTTTGCAAATATAAATAGAAAGATTGATTGTACATACCCCTCAAAAATGAAGTGAAGATAAAAAGATCTAACACAAAAAATACCGATTGCCGATGAGCAAACTTATAAAGTTTTGTTTTTCGTATATTAAGTTCGGTCAATCACATCGCGGAAATGAACATATGATTCCAATAAACGCTAGTGTTGTAATGTCGTTCGATATATCGCATCTGTTAGCACTGTACTCAGGTGGTGTAGTCACGAGGGTCGAGTGGGCTAACTGAGATAAGGGATAAGGGCCAAGATGAATGAGAGCGTCGCGTTGTCGCCGTCAGACTGCCGCCAGCCGCCTCCGCACGAACAAATCTCCACAATTTACGTGACTGACCCGACTAAGGGCATTCTATAATAAAGCGTTTCAAACGATCCAACGTCCTTGCTTTTTAGGAATCATGTCTATACCCTCCATTCAATCACATGCTTAAGTCCCAAATACATATAAAGTTATTTTGCTTTTCTCACTGCCCGTTTTATTGTCAACATTGATTTTCAAATTAACGTTTCCATTTAGCGATTAAGAAATGCGGAGCATCTTTATACAACAACGCGCAAGCGCAACTGCAACATAGGATATTTCAACATTTAAATTTATACATCATGCCATGTGAAAACAATAAAGCCGTTGCAAACTGTTAAGTTAGCGTGTTATGGAAATAAGTAGCTATTTACATAGTAATAATAGTTATAACTTGATAAAGTATCGAAAAATGGACACAATTGAGGTAAACAGAATGGAATTCTGTTATTGTTATTTCTATTCCAGATGAGAATAATGACAAAGGTAATGATGCTGTTTCTGAATATTGGTACTTAATGTCAATTATAATTGTAAGAAAGAAAAACAACAGGTTTTTACTAAATTTGGGTTTGATATGTGAAAAATATAATAAATTTGCGTAATTCTTACGTTTTGTATGTAAGATATACGTGAGATAATCTATCTATACATATACAAAAGGTCCTGATGAAAGATGCCCTGACATACCGACTGATAGGCAATGCACAGCTTAAACAGCAGGTCGTAGAGTCTTGAAATTTGGAGGGTACATTCGTCTCATTACGTAGAGGTGACCAAGCAATGTGATCTCTTAGTATACGATATAAGGAGCGACAAATAGAATCTTTTCATTAATTTATACTAGTATTACTTATATAACGAAAGTAAGTCTGTGTATGTCTTTTAGCACTCATGCCTCACTCATTAAAAATAGTTTGCCATAGGACTTAGACTTGACATAGCACTTTGTGATTAAAAGGTTGATATAGGGATTTAGAGTTTGTATGGAGATTCGTTATTGTCAAATATAAAACCACAAAATTTTATATTCAGGTATGAATAATGTTTGTTTTAGTGTTTTTAGAAATACTACCCAAAGCTGTCTATAGCTTACGTACTATTATTATAAAGGCGAAAGTTTGTAGGATTGGATGTTTGTTACTCTTTCATGCAAAAGTTTCTAAACGGATGATAATCAAAATTGGTATACGAATAATTCTAAGTTCGGATTAACATATAAACTACTAAACAATTCTCTAGAAATAAAAATAATTAAAAACATGACTACAAAAATCGAACTGGAGGCCATTCAAATTTTAGCAATCAAATTTTCCCAAGGAGCCCCGACTATGAGTCCTTCTGTTCTGTATTACTTAACAGAATTCTAAACTACCGGGCTTGTTTATTTCTTTTTAGTTTTTATTTAAGTTAATTCTTTCATGTATTTTTTTAAATTCGTTTTCACGCAGTCGGGTTTTTTGTTTTTCTTTAAATTATTTATTTTTATTTTATACTTTTTAGTTACGATTCGTTGACTTCGTTATAAGAAGGTAAATTTCGCAATCAAGTTATTTCATTGAGGGAGTTAATATTGTGGGGATTATTAAGTAAATTGCGGTGGTCTAAACAACTGATGATTAGTTCCTCTAGATACCTAACTCGGCTCAAAGCTACATATGCTTTATTTTTTTACCAAAAATACTTGTTCTTCACACTTTTTCACTGTTTGTTTTTTGTTTGTATATCGTTTATACTTTAAATAAAAACTTTAATCAATAAGTAAGAAAATTAGCGAAAATGTTTTGTTAAACAATTTTAAATCATTATATATCCTAAACTATTATTTAAAATAAAAAATGATAAAAGAAACCTAAAGATGATTTTAAAATACCCATTCAACGACACCCCACTTGACATAGTTTATCGATTTTTATTTTTTCCATTTAGACAAAATGGCGTCTGGTTATCGCTGTGGTGAATTTTGATTACTGTCACGTCTTTAGTGACACTCCCAAGGTAAAAACGAATCGATTGACGTAAGAATCATTAAAATCGGCCTACGCATTTGGTTTCTAGAACGCCACATAGAAACAAACATACATACATAGACTAATAAACACATTACCCTCCTTTGCGTCGCGCAGTCGGGTAAGAAGAGAGTTGGTCGCGTTTTATACGACCTTAAACCACCGGTCTTTACTTAGAGGTCGTGTTAAGGAAACCAGTAGCATCACAACATTAACGATATTATGTAGGCATGCAAACTGTTCATATTTTTATGATGTTTATGATCCAGGTACTCGAAAACTAATTTTCTGTTACCAACTATTAATTTTTTTATTCTTCTTGTATCTTTAGTACTTTTTTTGAAATAACTTTAGAAATAGACAGTCATTTTCATCATAAAGTTACTGCGTTTTGAATTTGCTTAATAGATATAACTATCCAAATACTGCCATTTAACATACATTAACTTTACAAGAAAAATATTTCTGCCACAATTTGAGACTAAAATGAATGATTTGAACTTTGAACCTTGGTTCTCTAGCATTTTCATTTATTACGAACAAGTCAAAAATTCTAATCGGGCTGTGTAGATATATTATTAGGCATAGATATCAAAAGTGGTCTTTAAGCCCCATCGATAATCTCAAAGGTTAAAGATCTTAAGAACATCCCTAAGAACAAAAAAAAAAGGTAAAAGGAGGTGAAACATAGTGTAAGTTGTGTTACATTCTTATCAATTTTGTTCCCCTTGATATTATTTACCCGTATGAAAAAATTGGGTATGAATTTAAGACAAGTTATTCGTTATTTTTTTCACCGCGTATCACAAATAATAAAATTGTCATAGAGTAAATATTTTATTGTTTCATCATCATCGTCAAATCGAATAAGGAGAATGGGACATGACATGACCGGCCGGCCGAGTGTGGATTTGCGTTCAGAAACATCTTCAATAATCCAAATGGAAAATCGGTATCAGATATGTCACTTAAATAAAATAAGTAATTCACTCTGATATCGACAGATATAAGATTTTATAATGCGATAATATTGTTTGTCTAAATCAAGAGCCTACTGTTTATTCTTCAAGTTCATTTATCAGATTATGTAGCTACAATTATTTTATATGTGTAGTATGATTATATAATTTCTTTTAGGGTTGATGCAAAAGTAACCGATTATAATTCAATCGTTGTAATGCGTCAAGTGTGAACGGTTAAATATCATGTCATATATTTTAGCCGTGATATTCTGTAAACACATTTCGAACATCAGAAAGCTGAATCCGTAGAGATTTTCGAATTGTGTATAACTCGAATACGCAGCTGGCACTCCACTGTCGAACGCAGAGTGAATTCAACTAGGATAAGTGAGATTTACCATTTTCTATCATTGGCGTCATGGCTATTTGGCCACAAACCATCTTAGCATTTATTTTTGTCAAGATCAAAGAGATCTATTAGTGCAAATATTATTTTGATTTTGTTTTGTATGAAAATACAAGATGAATTGATTCATACATAGGTACCTAAAATAGAAGATATCGTAAACTTATGTACGTATGTCTCCAAATTTGTTATAAATTAGGCGTTATATTGCAATGATATTTTTGTTTTTTTTGTTAATTCTCAACTAAGACAATACCATATATTTTAAAAAATCGTTAAAATTTTTGAATATATCATTAAAAAAAAAAACAAAAAATATTAAACAAGAAAACGATTTCAAATGAGTCACAAAAGTGAAAAGTAATACTAAGATTTTTCAAATCATATTTTTCTTTCTTACAGGTATGTTAATTGTGAAAGTTTACATGTTTGTGCTGTATGTTCGTTACTTAACACGCAACTTAAACATAAACTTAAATTTCAGAATGAAATAAGCTGTAAATTCTAATATCAATTCTCAGATAAATATTATGTATTCGACGACGTATACTTACATTTTATAGCGTTGAGGTGTTTGAATATAATTAAAATATCTGTCAAATTAATAAACACAGACCTCGACGGCCTTTGTTAATAATAAATTATTGCTCTCCTTGCAGTTTATTTTCCTCGTCATTTGAACAAATATGAATATAATAATATGTTTGTTTTATTTTAAACCGATTTCAAAAAAGGTGCTTATCAATTCGAGCTCTATATATATATATATATATATATATCTTTCGTTGGAATGATGTGAATAATAGAATTGCGCTAACCAATGCGCCATCGAGGTCCTATCTTTCAAACCTATGACCTAAACGTAAACATTCATAGTTTTCAAATGTGCATTGACTTACTTTATAAACTTATATTGATATCTTAAATTACGAAGCAAAGCAAATATTAATTTAATGAGTACTCAAAGGAATCCTGCTAGTAACTACTAAAATTAGTAAAAGAAGATGGCAAATCTAGTATCTTCAAATGATCACATCTGTTGGTTGTAACTAATAACTTGCTGAGCAGGTTTTCTCGTTGCTAGAGTGTTGCAAATTATTTTAAAGATCTAGAACTATTCTAGAATAGTCGATTTAGATATTTAATATAATAACTTATTTGATGGTGGTACATTTACCTTACTTATTGCAGTTAGTGATATATGCTTCTTTGTATTTGAAATATATATTAGAATAAATCATAGAAATTTTTTCCCATCAGAAACTAATAAAACGCAATTGTCAACGAAAACTGGGATTAGAAAACTAAGACAAAGAGACAACCGCCAAACATAATTTAGTAATAGCTGCTTTTGTCCGCGTATTATATAGATTCTCGGTTGTGAAAAGGTTTTAAAAGTACAAAATAAATCCAGTCCTTTTATTGCGTAATCAATGCAAACAAACAATTAAATAATTCCTCTTTATATTAGTATATAACTATTTGA